AAATATTTTTGAATATATATTAGGTATTATTCTAATATATAGTATTCAACTACTGTGTTTATTCGTTTAAACGTGTATTTTTAAAATATTTGTTTTGACGATACATTTCATTTTGTTTATCCATCATATCGTATAATAATATTTTCATTAAGAAAATGTGTTTCATAAAAATTCTACCGGTAAATCATTTTATAACTAGGTCTTAAGTAAGTAGCCGCCCAAATAGGTACTACCTGCAGGATCGGCTATAGGTATGTTTTAAAAAAATATATTACATTGTTTTTAATAAGTAAGCAAGTATATTGAAATCGTTAAAATTTTTAATTTTCTAATACGAAAAATTGAATATTTGCAAGTAATGTAAAAATAACTAAAATACATCTCCTATCCCTCTCTTATTCCTTGAACTGATGTTTGTCTTATGTTAAAATCTTACATTGATAAAACATTTATAATTAGGAAAAGTTCTTTAATTGAAAAATGACAAGAAATCTATTTGGTTTCATTGTACATTTTGTTTCTTATAGTGCAAGCCATTTTTTGATTTCACAACGATTCAGAAAAACCAGAAGACGAAGTTGTAATTCAGTTAAAAATATTTGTAGTGACTTGAAAAATGGACAGAATGCTCATATTTGGTAATCAAATTTAAACGGAAATCACAAAAAAAATTACAGCATTTCAAATTATACATTACCGAACTGCACTCGTCTTTCGTCAGCAATGATTTATCGTTGCTTACAGATATAAACAAAATAACCTTATGTATTCTAACTTCCCAACTTCTCACCTATAACAGTGGCCGCTTTTATCCCCAGTATCAGCTCTTTTTTCTCCGTCATTTAAATCATAATTTCTTAACTGATTATTGATTGTTGTAATTTTAATTGTATTTACAAAGTTTCAATAAAAAAAAAAATTGTCAATTTTTCAAAAGGTCAACTTTTTATGACTTAGTTATTTCCGTGTGGATCACACAAGCTGATGCCTTTTGGTTTATTCAAATCTCTTTATGTAAGTTAAAATTTAACCATATATTTTATATTTGACACAAGATGAAATGTATACTTACGAAAAAAAAAAAATTTAAAAATGTACATTTCAATATTTCGTAAAAATACTGAAATTTGAAATGTTAATTTTACTTTTATACATTGCATTATATTACGAAAACTGCAATAAAACAATATTTTAATAATATATAAATTTCCTTTGACTAAATTCATGATTAAAACATAATTTAAGTACAAGGTGTCACGCAGAGATCTGACAAAATGTAGTATATATAGTTTATTCTATTCCATACATGGTTAGGTTTTTATTTTTTTGTAATAATTATTAAATCGTTGCTCGAGTACAATGTACAGCTTACATATTTTTAATTAGCGTAATAGAGTTTAAAGCTTAAATTATTGATTGTCAATTAATACAAATTTATCAATGCACCTTTTTTTCTTGCTATACCTTATATTAGATTTTTTTGACAAAAATATTTAAAAGGTAATACCTAAGGCCCATAACTTGTCAGTCTACTGATGAATACTCTGCTGGCACGTCTTGTCATGTCTTCGCACATTTATAATCATGTCATATTTTTCCATATACGATGTACCTTATGAATTTTTTACTTTCCGGTAAAGATAGCTAGGTATCTAATTTTATTTAACCAAATATTTAAATATAATAATTTTCAGATTGAGCGCAGCAAAGAATATATTAGTAGTTTTACTATGATGTGTACTTTTTTTGAAATTTATTTTTTTCTGTCTGTTAAATTTTTTTCGTTTTCTAGTTTCCGTTTTTTTAAATTTTGTTTTAGATTCTAAACAAAACGACGAATGTATTAGTTTTACAATGATGATTATTTTTTCTTTTTTTCAACTTTTCTACCTGAATCCGTAATTTTTATTCGGTTGGTACTGTGTGGATAGAACTGTTGTACCAAACCGAAATACTTACAAATTTAACAGGAGATTCATTATAGGTCGTTCTTAGTTTTAAAAAAAAAAATGTAGTGTGTAATTTAGTGTAATGCGAAATTTTTTTTTCTATGAGAATTTTATTATCAAATTTTTAGGAAAATTGTAAATATTACGGCCTTTCATAACCGAACCCTGAATTGTTTTTCGTAAATAATAATCAATCGTTACCTACAGATATATAAATTAAATTCCCCTCTACATCCTACCTTCTCAACTTCTCACCTATTATGCAAAGTATGTCCAGTCTTTTTTAAATTCAAATTTGACGAAAATCGTAAAAATCACGGCATTTCAAAACGTATTCAACCAAATTTCGATAATTGTATTTTATATCTTCTCAATTTTTCACTTAGAAACAGTATCACCTATACCAGAAGTATCAGAATTTTTTTTTTTTAAACACCGGCGTTTATAATTTAAAGCCTTTGTTGACATTTAAACTTGATACTAATAAGAAACTTTAATAAATCTGTACAAGTGACGCACGTAGGTATTTTTTGACAAATTGTGCAAATAATTAATCCGACAATATATTGTGTCAATTGTATTTACACAAAACATGATATCCGTTCCAAATAAAATATTTATAACATCTAAGTTACTTAGATACCTTAGATTCTTTTAATCAAAATAAAAGTCAGCCATAATAAAATCATCAAAAAGAAACTAAATTTTAAATTTTAAAATCTAAATTTGCAAGTGTCAATTAATGTTTATTTTTTTTTCACATTTCACAAATTGTAGAATAAAATAATATTTTAGGTTATATCTATTGCATTTAACATGAGTCATCTTTACACAAAAAAAATTATAATTTTACCCTAAGTGACTATGACTATAGATTAAAATATAATATGTATTTGTATATTATATAATAGTATATGCCAGATTTCAAGTGCATTTTTTTTTTGCGCTTTAGCAACAAATTCTGAGTAGGTACTATGTATTCAGTTTATGTACGAATACTTCCAAAGTGGAACTTTTATTTATCATTTTTCACTGATTTTCCATTTTGAGAACATTATTTGTCAAAGTATTGTATATAATTTGATTTATATATTGCAAATGGAAATTTCTTTTTCCATTTTTCGCTGTTTTTGTCTATTTTTAAGTAATTTTTGGATAGTTTTTAGGGCATTTAATTCCAGGCTCTAGCTATATTTTATATACATAATACATATTATTTAATCTATGCTATGATATACTATAAATAAAGGAATAATTATTTTATTATTATGAATAAAATTGTATTTAATATTGTATTCAAATTATTATTTTACGTGCAACTAAGTTTGAACAAATTTGTTTGAATATGAGAATTATCAAACAGTTTGTATATAAAAGAAAAAACAATTAGAATATACATTTTGTTTGGCATAATAATCATTATTGATGGTCAAATGTGTTGTAATTTAACTATTTTTGAAAACAATGGACGTAGGTAAATGCATTAATAATTGTTATTATTAATGAACTTTAATTGTGCCAATGGCCGAGCATTAATTGAATTTCATGTTTTAAGTTTTAATACAATTATTAATAAATATAATATTTTACATTATTTCATAAGACTAATTTATCGGCAAAAATAAGCTGATGGTTTGAAATATTTAAAAAAAAAAAATTAAATTGTAATATTATGCCATCATATTGATGGTCTATAACTGTAAAATCGAGAAAATATTTTGTGCTGATGGACAATTCTGTAAAATTAATTTTAAGTCATCAGAATTATTTAACGACTTACAAAAAAAGAAGTATAAATAATTATAAATAATTGTGTTTTAGGTCTGCTGTGATATGCATACAATAATTTATGAAACTATTATAAAATGTAGTGCTGAAAACATTAAAAAGTAAAAGAAAGTGATATCATCAATTATGTTATCATTTTATTAATATATAATATTATTATTATTTGTACTGACATAGTTAATCAAGTTGAATTTCGACAGCTAAGTTAGAACTCCTTTTTTTGTTTAGTGTAGGACAGAGCGTTTTGATTTTTGAATTGTATCTTTTGATGATCTAAATAATTTTAAATTCCGAGTTAATGCTTATTATTTTTTTTTCTGTGAACAACTTTTCTACCAAAAATCTTCCTCAGATTTACAAATGTAGTACTTTTTCTGAAAGGAAATTGGACTGGGGTAGTACTTCAGAAGTCATTTTGATTTTCCTAAAAATTTTCCCAATAAATTGAAAAAAAAATGGGAAAAAAGGTACAATATTAAACAAATTGTTTAATGCACAATATGTAATTATTTTACGATAATATGAAATATATATTGTTAACAAAGCAATACTATCAACTAAACTCCCCTCAGAATTGTTTTTCGTTAGCATTGGTTAATCGTTGCTTACAAATATACATTAAATTACTTATAACAGTGGCTGCATCCGTCCCCATTATCTTAGGACAGTTTTTTTGAAATTTAAAATCATCAAGGTCAAAATGGTTGTTTGAATCCCTTAAAAATCGACGATACACTCAAAATTAACTTTGTTTAAATACCCTTTTTTCTTCTTTAATGTAGAGAAAATACGCAGTTAAAAATGCCATTTAATTTTAATTTTATTTAGTTAATTTAATTTGTTAAGATTTATTGCTGCTATCAACTAGTTATCTCAAGTAACAGTAATTTGTGTTATCACTTCTCACTAGAAAAATACAGATTATTAAGTCTACAACACGATTTGATACATCATCGTTAGTGCCATAGATAAATCAAATAATTTAGAGTCGTAATAATACTTTAAGTCTGACTTACAAATTAAATTTGGTTACAGAATCACAATTTAGTGACAATGATTTTACTATTGAATTTATCTAAAAGTCATTTGTAGGTCTAAATTCTGGATTATAAAAACACAGAATCGCTCTGCTGGTTAAATAAGATGAATACTTTTAAATAAGCTACAGTGGAAATTAATAACTGAAAAGTAATGTAAAAAATTACAACAAGGAAATATTATGTCACTATACCTATAGATAAAATAACCAATTTTTAAAATTTTGTAATGAACCGATAAACATTTAATACAATATTTCTATAAATATAAACAAAATTACAGATATAGAATTGTTTGACACTGTTTGCGGAAAAATATTTATTTAGATGGTATACAAACATATTGAAAATTGACTACAACTATAAACGCCTTTTTGGAAATATTAAAATATTATACTATTAGACATACAATAAAAAAAAACATTTAAAAGGGTCAATAGGGGCAGATTGGCAAATCCAAATGTTGGACATTTTTCCAACACAAATTACAAACTTAACTTGTTATCATTCGGCTAAAATATAAAAAAAAACTTTCCTATTACGAAAAAGATTTTAAAAAAAAACTGAAATAACTTTTATCGTAATATTATTAGTTTAACGTTGATACATTTTAAAATATAGGAGTGTAGAATATAGCCTTATATTAAACAATTATATTTTAATAACATAAACATTCAAAAAGGTTAATAATTCACTATTAGTAATTCGGAATTTTACCAACCAGACTCCACCTCTTCCATACACACTGTTATTATTTATCATGAGCTAAACAGTCTGCCAATCTACCCCACAAATAAAATTATTTGTTTACAAATAAACATAAAGATATACATTTTACCAGATATTTATTTCTTTGTAAAAAGGTATGTCAATAATTATTCAAATAAATAAATGTTATCACTAATACTACATGCATTTAAATATATATTAAGCTATTAAAATAAAAAAGTATGTTCATATGTTGTTAAAATGCATGCATGATTAGTAAATAATCATACATTAAATTTTTAAGATACACTTTGGATTTAAATTAGAATGGGATAATTGATATTACAATAAGAAAAAAACAATATACATATATAAATATATATATATATATATATACATATATATATATATGTATATATATATATATATGTATGTATGCTAATGTTTTTAAATAAAATTTTCCTCTGGTTCTTTAGGGGCATCTAAGTCGCGATAATGAATTATTGGTCTGTAAATCAAAGCCACCAGAAAATTAAAACAAAAAGGATTATTAATAAAAGATATAAAGTGGTCCTTATTTTAAAGAAAGTAATTTATGTTAAATTTAATTGTGATAAGACATCCAATTATCTCATTACATGTCACAAGGTTAGAAAATTACCAAAGAGATAGTTTTCTTGATTTTTCAATTTATTTCAAAATCCATAGCAATGATCACAAAAATATGTTGCATCTTAATTGTTAAGTATACAAATATCTATAAAAATGTTCAAACATAATTTTTAGTAATTCCATAATATTCCAAGAAAAATAATAAATTATAAGTTATCCAATTTATTTAACAAAATTGAATTTTATTTTTTATTTATTATTTACATAGAAATAAGATTATTTATTATTTAATTTTAAATTTTTTTAAGTTTTAGTGCTTAAAAAATTCAATATTTTAACTTGAACGGGTATTAAAAAATGATGTAAATGATTTTGATGACAAGGAATTTAAACCTTTAGCTTTAACTATATATTAAATTTCCTAGACAACTAGGAATATTTATGTTATGTTATGCAAAATTTCAATTTAATATTATTTATTTTATCATATTTTCAACCATTTGAAAAATTATTTAAATAATCTTAAACAAGTCAATTTTGGCAAATAACAAGAAAACAACGCCTTTAGTAATTTTTAAACTTTTAATGACACATAAATGAAGCCAGTTTATCACAGTCAAATTCAACATGTATTACATTCTTAAATTGAGTAAAAAAAGGGGAAAGTAAGAAATCAAAAATATTAATATATTTTTCCTTCCTATATGAATAAGGACCACCCTAATAAGATGATGTGTAACATACTATAAAACAAATACCAATCATATTTTAAAAGAGGACAGTTTAAAGTGTCCTACATTGGACTAAAAATGAATAGCATGGCACCAAGTAAAACACTTACAGCACAAAGTATGTGGTGTTTTTTTCATTACAATTCTCACTCTAACATTTCATATAAAATAGTGTTTGTTTATCCTTGGTACAGGCAAGATTTAGGTTTAGATACAAGCACTTTGAAGATGAAATTCTCCAAATTACTTTTGACAAAACACAAACATTCCGGCTTTTCAAAAATAAAATTTGCAAATTGGTGACATGTTATGGATAAGTGCTTAAACTTACACAGTAACTATGTTAAAAATATTTGCATCTATATATGTTTTCATTTCTAGTCCAATGAAGAGAACTTTCCAAACTGCCCTCGAACAATTAGGTTATACAATACTACTGTAGGTTCTAATGAAATAAATAGCACTAAAAGCAAAACTGTTTTGGTATCACTATAATAGTGAGATGTTTGATAAAATATATGAGGTTCATTATCATCTATACATAATTGTCAGACAGTTACTTATTTATTTTTCAATTATAAACATACAAAAAGTAAATACAATTTATTTAAATATTGTTATAAGTGAAAAATTCTCACAAATGCTATTGCCAAAACAGTGATGCCAAATTAATTTTGTTCAAAACTAATTCTAAATATTAAGACTTACCTGCCACCTCCTCTAAAACCTCCACGAGCTGGAGGTCTGGAATACCCATACATTCCACGACCAAATCCAGTACCACCATATTGTGGGTATCCAGACATTTGATAACTAAAACAAATATATTTATAAATTATACCAAGAAAAATAATTTAAAACAATTTCTTACGGAGCTGCAGCTGGTGGAAACGATTGTGGAGTTTCATTTACATCTTTTCTAGCTTGTTTATTGCCAGGATGTTCAGGCAACTGAGGTCTTTTTGGATCTCGAAGATAATTATTAAAAAATTTGACCTTTTATAAAAATAGAAATTATATTTATAATTTGTTTTTTACAGAAAAAATTCATCTAAATTCAAAATTTACTTCTTTTTTCACATCATCCAGTTTATCAATATGCTTATTGAAAATATGTTTACGCACAAATTCAGGGCCTTTAAATTTTTTACCTGACAAAGGACATAGCCATTTGTCTTTTGATATTTCTTGTGTATTTGAAGTTACAAACTTTTCAATTTCTTCTTCTTCTTGTTTGGCTCCGAGCTGTATTAATTCTTTTTCACTTATTTCAACCAAATTAGTAACAGTCAAAGGGTTAGCTTTTATTTGAAAATTATGGTTATAATCTGTAATCTCTTGTTGTGAAGGCTATAAATTTCAAATTTAGTTTTATTTAGCATTATTTATTAAAACTATAAATATTTAAAAATTTAAGATTCATACTAGATTACAGGGTAGTGCACAGCGAGCATGCATAATACCGCATCTATTCGGCATTTCATCTTCATTTACATATTCACTATGATTGTAAAAATCAACTGAATGAACAATACGCAGGTAGAGTAACATTTTATCCAATGCCTAAAAATTTAAAAATTCATATTGTTTTATAAATCAAAACATTCATGATGGGTTGCATAAACGACCAATAACTGGTTATCGAATCAAAAACATATCAATTGGTCTAATAAAATTATTGGCAGTAGTAGAAATAACTTATATCTTTTATCAATTCAACAAATAACCTGTTATCAGAAATTGAATTTTATTATAAATAATAAAAACAGTTCCATAACTTCCATAACTATTGAATTGATAACTCAGCATATTTTTCAACTTTTCACAACTTTTTCTTATCAAACATTTTGTTATGTGTTAATAGCGTGATAGTTTATGCGACCCGGCATAAATGTAGCTATGTAATAAAAAATAATTATCATTTTCATAACTTTTCTACACATATTAAACATTAAATATGTTAATTTATACATTTAAAATAAACTCAATGGTTATTAATTAATGAATACCTTAAACAGTAGCAAATCTTTTTCAGTATTGTCTTCGGGTTCACAAGCTGCATTTTCACCCAAAAGTTCTTCTTCCTCAGCTGATGCTTCTTCTATTAAAAAATCGGTGATATTTTGTAAAACGGGATTTCGTGACACAACACCGTAAGTATTTTCTACAGCCGATTGTTCGCCTTCATTTAATTGCCATAAGCCTGAACGGTTATCAAAGTTGTTAATAATATTGGCACATATCTTCATGTCATTACGAGCTACTTGTCTGTGATTGGTTATTCCATTTACAGACCGAATTCGTTTACTCAAATCTCTGTTAACTATAGCACCTAATTCCCCATCACGTAGCTATAAATTACAGTAACATTTAATATTAGTATTTACAATTACATCACCTATCTATTTCAATTGAAAATGCAAATATCATTTCATTTTTAAATTTAACCTGAACAGTTATAATTCTAAACTTTTACTCACTCTAACATTATTATTGAGGTTCCAACAGATTTCCTTAATACTAACATCTCTATCAAATGTTACCCAACCACGTCTAAACCAACGTCGTTCTGGTAAAGGATCAGCTATAGATAATCTCATAAATCCTGGGAATCTTTTACAAACCTAAAAAAAAAAGAAAAGAAATCATGCAACATTTATTAATAGTTTTATTTAAAGAATACTTACAGTTTCCAGTTCACTTTTGGTTATTGTGGGGGCTAAATTACGTAAAAATACTGACGTGGTACGATGTAATGCTCTTGGTTTCACTATTTCATCCTATATAAAGTAAAAATAATTACTATTACTTATATTAACTTAAATAAAATATTTAAAAAAAATAAAATCATACATTTTGATCGTTATCGTTAGTTATGTCCATGATTTCCGATTCTTGACCATCTACAACTTTAACATCTAAAAAAAATGTTCTTTATTGAGTTATCATGTTGATACAAAATACCAATATTATTACAAATTATTCTAACAAGCATTTAATATTGATTTAATTACCTCCAGAACAAGTTTTTTCAGAATTGTCTTTTTTATTATTTCTATCACCGTCTTCTTTGTCACTATCTACTTCACCATCTAAATTTCGAATAGGCCTAAAATAAAATTTAAATAATTTATTTGAATTTATAAATTTCATAAAATAGTAAATCCAGTATATGATAGTAAGTTGAAGATTTTCTTTTTTAAATAAAGAAAATTTCAAATAGATCAAAAACAGTTATAATATATTATTGTAAAAATTTTATAAAATAAAAGAACATAACAGGACCAAAAATTAAATAAAAATGTAGTTATAAACATAAACACACTAATACATAATCAATATTATTTAACAATGTCATATTATTGGTATTATGGTATCATATCAAGTACTATAATATTATTTTGAAAAATATATTACTGATTAAAATTTTGAGAAAAAGATAAATAATTTAATATTTTCAAATATTATAAATAAACTTAATAAGCTAAACAATTTTACATTATCTCAATTGGCTACTCAAAAATATATATTTATCAGATTCCTTACTCAATTTTCTTATTAGATTCTTTTTTTTCAAATAATGCTTCTTGTTGACTTTTTATCATCTCTTTGGGATTTAACACTGCTAAATCAAAATCAGTGCCCCCTTCAAGTTTTATTACGACTGAATCTAGAAGATGAACCAAAGGATCTGGATTATCAGCATCTACACAAACAAAATCAATCTTGCCATTTGCCAAAAATTCTTTAAACACTTCTAATCGTTTCTGCAGGAATGAAAAAATAAACGTATAAATATTTATTTAACGTGAAAACAAATGAAAACATGTTGTAATTGAAATAAGCTTACTCTCAATGCTGCATTTAGTTCTTCTTTCCGTTTAATACTATCATCAGGATGGTATTTAATCTTGAACCTTTTAAAATTATTTTGTATTAAAATACTAATACCTAAAATAATCAATATTAATATTATTACCACTCTTCATCCTTGTGTGCAATAAAAAATTCATTTAATTGATTTCTTTTAAATTGCAATTTATATTCGTTATATTTAGTCAATGCTTCCTCGTCAGTGATATTATCATCTTGAGTAATCAAGAAAGCTTTTAATGACATCATTGGTGGTTGAGTATCTCCCGAAGACTGTTCGACCGGCGGTGGAGCAGGATGGTTCACTGGAGGATGTGCTCCAGGATCTCTCATCGGTATAATTCTAAAATGATAATAATATTTGAAAAAAAAACTATATTTCAAATTTATCAGTGTCAAATTAAAAAAAAAAAATATTTTTAACTAAATTACTGTTTTATTTGTTACATATTATATAGTTAATTAAATAACATACATTCAAAAATATAAACTACATGTAGCTACCTAGAAACAGGAGGCATATGATGTGCAGGAGGTTCCCAAGGTGCACCATACCCATAACCTGGGGGTTCGTAACCAATGCGTCTGTCTTCCCTTAATTGCAATAAATTATATTATATTTAATACAAAGATAATTATTATAGTACATAAGATAGATAAATCTGAAGAAAATTTTTCTACTTACCAATCAGGAGGTCTCATTCTCTTAACTGGAGGTGACAAATCTCTTTGAGCACCTGGGCTGTAGCGTTCACGCATTGGGCCTCTATAATCTCCTCTGCCTCGATTTCTCGGACCCCAAGTTTCCCTATAAAGTATACATAACTAGATAAATATACATGATCAAATTAAATATTTATTGATGTTAAATACACACACAAAATAATAAAAACATTGTTTATGAAGAGAAATAAATGAAAATTATACCCCCCTAGCCAGTGTGAAAGATTTAGTAGTTATTGGCCATATGAGACAGGATAGCATAAACATTATGTTAGATCTACTGAAAGTATACAAACATTTAGAAAAAAGACCAAACATATATTACACTAATAGCTATGCACAACAAAATGCCTGTTGAAATGAATTTGTAATTTTTCAAATTTTAAGAGGAATACTTATTTTTTATATTAAATAATACTATAATATAACATTTTGATATATATTGAATAAATTTGATATTTTAAGATGCAGGTTAACCATGGAGTACCTAGAAATTATCGTGTTTGGATCTTTTGTATTGCTTGAAATGGATTGTAAATGTTTTGAATTAAAATGATTAGATTTTTATATCTAGAGTCCTAGACACTTTTTTTCCTTTTTTCATTTAGATAATATTCTAATAAAAAAAAAAAAAGACATTATTATGAAAATGCTTATGAATCTTGACTTTTAATAATTTATGGTAAATTTTATTATTGGAAGTTTTGTAAAGGGCCCGGACAAACATTTAGTACAGGGTTCCAGAATTTAATGTGGGGGTCCTGGTGAAGAGCTTCAGTTATTTAAATATATTGTTATAAATTAAACATAATCTATCATACCTAGTAGATAAATAACAATATTTCGATTTCTACTTTTTAAAATCTTATAAGTACAACAAAAATGTTTTATAAATAATATTTATCTTTTAATTTTTTTGGAGTGGGAAGTGCTTCATCACATTTTAAAATAAAGTTGTAGTTGATTAATTATGCAAAATATCCTAAAGTTTTATGATAATCAACTATCTTATTGGGAAATTGTGTACAACTTAGTCATAAATATAAAAAAATGGTTTTAATTTATTTAATCATAATAGAGAACTAAATTACTTGTAGCTAAATTAGATATGAGGCGCATCCTTGCAGTATATCTAATTAGATGTTTTAAAGTTTTTTATTATATAATATACATATATATATATATTTTTTTTTTGAAGTTAAACTCTATATTGATTATTCTTAAGCTAATTTTTGTAATTTGAAATGTGTATTGTTTTAGTATATCTACTTGAAATAGTACTGGACCATAATATAAATTAAGTATTATCTTTTTCAATTTGGTAAGATAATGATGGCACGATTAAAATGTAAAACCCTTAAAAATCTAATCAAATTACACTAATGCCAATGTATAATTAATTCAAAATTAAGTATTTATTAAATAATTTAATTCAAAATATTTACCTATCTATGAATGATACACAATTAACTGGAAGAATGTTTCAAAAATAATTTTTGGGTAATGATTCAATGTACAATTTATGAAACACACAGAAACTGATGAATGTATAAATTGTTAAAATTATATTTAATATATTGTATTAATATAATTATAACTTATATTAATTAGAATAATCTTCACGGTTTCTACATAAATAGGTAAACATTTTAAATTTTAAATTATAATACAGTTATTTATTATTACATTACTAAACAAACAAAATTATACTTAATTATATGAAAAACTATTAGTATAACCTTTCCTAGAACTCAACCATTTTTTTAATCTGGTAAACTGTTTGGAATTCTAAATACAAATTGTATAATCTTTGTAAATAATATAATATTACTATGTAGGTCAATTTTATATGCCAACTCTACTAGTTTATTGAAATGCAATCAAAATGTGTTCAATATTAATTTATTTTAATTGAATTATATATAAATCTATACCATTAAGAAATTGCATGTATCAATATAATTATTAAAAAGTAATTTATTTAATACCTAATTGAATAATTATTTTGAAGACACTTAACATTATTTCTAATTAGTTTTATATTCCATATAATAAGTAGGTATGAAAAAATAGAGTATACTGCCTACTTATCAACAAATAATTTATTTCATATACCTACCTAATATCCTAATATAATATAGGTACCTAGGTATATATTATAATATCAGCTTTGATCAACAATAATCGATCAATAGGTAAGTGATTGATAATTCATCAGATTTTTAATTTCTTGCAATATAAAAATGTATAACAATATGAATTAAAATAACACTAACCTGTCATTCCAATCGTCACGCATTCGGCGGTCATCTCTACGATTATCGCCACCTCTTAATGATTCAGTACGTTCACCTCTAAATTTATCCCTCCGTTTTCTATCGTATTCATCATCGCTATCACCCATTGCCTACTCCACTGTTTTTACCTAGAAATCATATTATTATTATTGGATACCCATTTGACAACATAAACTAAATATAATAGTATATTGAATAAAACGAAAATTAATAGGAAGCTAACACTTGTGATCAATTATTCTGAATGTTTATTTAGTGTGAAATATGTACAATATCCAAAATTTTAAAAATTCATTAAACGTTAAACCCAATTCATGTGTTCAAGTTACAATTTATCATTAAAATAACACAGATAATTTATTAATAAAAGTATGGAGATGAAACGTAGCGCAAAGTAAAGAGACCGCTCTAAAACGTTAAAATCACAGTTCATGTCGTTCGTGAATTCATGATAGAAAATGTGCAAACAAAACCTGAAAACACTGGGACAGTGTAGACAAAATAACAAAATAATTATTCAGTTGTTTTTTTTTTTTTTGTGTATGTGTATGGATTTACGCGGGCTTTTAAACGGATTTACTCCATATTATACTCCGAAAAATAATTTTAGATTCTGGGTGGAGTGAAGAAACTTATGGTTTTACAACGATGTTTACTTATTTTTTTTTGTATCTGTGGACAACTTTTCTACCAGAAATCTTGCTCCGATTTTTAAGTGTAGTTGTGTAGCACCTTTTCTAAAAATAAATCGGTCTGGTGAGGTAATTAAGGTAGATAATTTTTCTATTTTCTCAAGAGTTTTCTCGACAAATGTGAAAACCGAAAAAAAACGGGAAAATATTCTATATGTTGGTATTATACTTCGTCTCACCATAGTGATGTAAATCGGTAATATTATTTTAGAAAAGTATTATAAAATAAGTAATTTACCGGTAAAAGTAATATATATATAAATTACTTTACAACTTTACGGGTATTTAATTTTTTTGAATCATATTTTTACTTTGTTACATATTCGATTACATATTTCATCTATTCTGAATTATGATATTCTGCATATTATAATCATATATTATGTTTCAAATTACATTTATTATTTAACAGTTTTTGGACTTTATGTGGCTTATTAAACTGATTAATGTTAACTGATAAGAAAAAGTACACAAATATAAATTATAATTATAACTTATAATAGTAGTTATACTCGTTATTTATCGATATACATGAAATAACATGTCTGAGCTAACTGATTCATCATCGCTTACCCCAAACTACTGGATGGATCTGGCTAAAATTTAGCACAGAGATAGATACTATGACGTAAGCATCCGCTAAAAAGGATTTTTAAAAATTCAACCCCTAAGATGGTAAAATAGGGGTTTTTAGGTATATTTGGTACGAATATCTAATTGTTCATTTATTTATTTTGGTTTATTAAATAGGCTACCTTGGTAACATGGATGAAAATTTGGTTGTTACGGGCAGAAAACTATTATTATTATTATTATTATTATTACCTGATAATAGCAAAATACGGCCGGGTCAGGTATTTTTGGTACGAAAAATAAATTATTTTTATTGAACTATGGTTTACTAAGTAACACGATAAAATTAAAAAGAAATACCAATGATTAAGGGTAAGTGAGAAGTGAAAACATGTAAAACATCATCTCTCAATCTTTGTATTTTTTGGTACAGTAACAAAATTACAGTATTATTATGTCCTCATAATTTTAGCGTTATAATAGTGGATATATATCCAGTAGAACCCGTTTAAGACGCTCTTTTAAGGACCATTTAATTACAGTTAGAAATCGTATTAAACGGGAATATAAAATATTATTTTGTATTATCTACTTCAAAAACTCATCGATTTTCAAAACTTGACCAATTCACAGTAAAAGAGAATAAACTAAATTACACTTTGCTTATATCCTTTAATCAACCACAAACGCTGTCGTAAACTGAAGCCATATCCGAATCCGTTATTCCGATACTGTGAATAGCTGTGTGAAGCGTGTCGTATCTTATCATAAATATTATTGTCCAATAATAATTATAAGTACAACACGTACACATTATTCGTTACCGTTATTATTAGTGAGGTATTTCATTAAATTGTTATATCAACACAACAGGACAAGGAGAGCGTCTTATTCGGGAACATTATTGAGAGCGTATTCTTCAGAGTTCATTACAAGTTGAACGTTTTCAAAATAACCAAGCAATTAATAAAAATGAGCGTAGTAGATAATTTGGAAAATCATCTAAATTGAGGGCATCTTGAACGGGTTCTACTGTATTTAATTTTAGTTCAATATACTGATGCGGATAAAACAATATAGAAATATAGATAAAAATAATAAAAAATTAGCACGGGCTACGCCGGACACGAGACAAATAGAAGGTTATAAACTTTAAAACTTGTCAGATCGTCTGACTGTCTGAGTAGAACTTTACTGTTAAATGAATCGTGATCATTCGAAAATACGGGAAAAATTTGTAAAATACGCTATCAACGGTCGTTATTAATATTACTTTTTTATTCAATTGGGTGTTAAAAAATAAATTTGCCAATATTACCATAAAAAAGTAATACTACCGGTAATTTACTCAAGTAAGTTACCTGAAAATAAACTACCTGTCATTCTACAACACTCTCACAAGAGAAAGTACACGCTCCGCGCATCGACGAGAGCACGGAGGCTGAATTTCTTTCCTTCCTTACCGCGTAATACCGTAACTTAACGTGCAAAAGTGATGGGAGATGCGCAGCGTCGGACGAAAAAACGTGTACCTTCTCTCGCGTGACGAATTATAGTTGAAAAAAATATTACAGTCTTGTTTTGTTTTCTTTTCAACAACTTTTCTATCAGCAATTTTGCTCTGATTAATAATAAAAACACATTTTCGAAAAGAATAGGGAGGTACTTCAGAGAAGTTATTTTTTGTTTTTCTCACTAGTTTTCCCAATAAATGGGTAAAACCGGGAAAAAACATGGGAAAACAGTAGAAAAAACGGAAAAATAGGTATAATATTAAACAATTATTATTTAAGAAAATATATAATGCATATGTCATTATATTATTTTACCATAATATGGCATATATATTGATGACAAACAACTACACGCCCAACTGAGCTCCGCTCATAATTTTTTTCCTTTAATAACGGTTTATCAGATATACATTAAATTTCGCCTTTACTACCTTCTCAACTTTTCACTTATAAAAGTGACTGAGCCCACGTGCGAAGTATGTTGTAAAATGAATACAGAATAAAACTATGAATAAACTGGTTATTTAATGAAGAAGAGGAGAAAAATATTTTATTGTAAATAGTTTCAGTAGGTTTCTATTTAATAAAAAAAATATATATATTCTGAATATTTGAATTTTTAAATAATTAAATTACTCTGAATAAATAATTAATTCAATAAATTGTTAACAATAATTATTAATCTATATTTCAATTATTATACGGCTACTAAAAAATGTCTATAATTTATTAGTTATAATTGCTTACACCAGATCGCATTGCAAAATCATAGGTTTTTAATGTAGTTTGTGATAAGAACCATCCCCGATCAGTTAGTATTTTCGCTCGTCACGCAACAAATTCTAACTGTGGCCTTAAATTTAATTATAAATTATAAATGGCTGCCGTTCATTTCAAGTAATTTTATTTTACAGACAGTATACAAGTATTATTCTAGGTGCATTGTACACTTCGATCTTATTGTATAAGGTGTAATATATTAGAGACCAAGCAGTTAGGTATTTAGTTATCAATAGCTGAATAAAATTATAAAAATGGCTTTGTTTAGTTTTAGATCATATACAATATACGTACCTATATGATCTAAGGCTGTAGCCCTAAGATAGTATCTTTATGTATGATACCAGTATACCACTGTTACCGCTTCTAAGTATTTATCACTTTTTCGTTTCAAGTTTTAAACATTTTTCATCAAACATCTACAAAAAATAGTAGCTGCGGATTTACCATAGACATATAATATATATGAGTATTGTATATGGTATTGATAAACTAAATTTGTGTAAATTTATTGTGTAAACGTCATTAATACATATTTTGTGCAGTTTTTAAAAAATACCTATCTACCCGTCCTACCCTGATTGTTCCGGTTACGGTTATAGATATAACCTTAGACAAATATCAAAAATAATATCTTTATTATCTATGATACTACTATCTATACTACCCGGTTCTAACCTTAGTAATTTATTACTCAATTCTCTATTCTTATTCTAATCACATAGACAATGAATTATACATAAATTATCTATGATTCTACGCATTTCTATACTAATGATAAAAGATGTAAGAGTCATACTCGCTGATAATGGAGTATTGGCATCACAATTCATTCCAAAAAAGCAAATTAATAATTTTTAGTCTACATAAACGTAGTTCTGTTTTTGTTTTCTCTCTGTAAACATTTAAAATACATTATGGTTATATATTTGTGTAGAACATAATGTTATAATTCCAACTGGATTAAATTTAATAGCATAATGTACAGCTTTGAAGGAGATTTTCGTAGACGACCAGAACAAAATTATGCTGGAGCTAGTGTACACGAACCAGTCAATAATCTAATACAAAGAGCTCGGTACGATCGGGAAAAGAGAGAAGTATGTATTGAAAATAAATTAGTAATTACCTGCATCAATATAATATCTTGAAATCATATTTAAAGGAAGCACGACGAGAGCAACGACAAGTTATTCGAGTACAATCATGTGTTCGAAGTTTTGTAACTAGAAGAAGAATAAAACAACAATTTCGGACTTTTTTTGACAATATTGTGTCCAATCTTAAGGATAAACCACCGGCCGATGATGTATTATCAAGCCTTGTGAAACATTTAATATTCTTTTACAATAAAGAATCTGATTTTCGAAGACTGGTAATAGCTAATTAATGTACCTAAATAATAATTTTTTTTTAATAACACCCAAGTTATAATCAATTGATTTTGTTGTGTATTCGTTAATTTCTCTTTTTATATAGTTTTTAAAACTGTTAATTTTTTTATAACTCATAGGGGTGGCTTTCAAAGCATATATTGCGAAATAGTGCCAAATTATTAAAATTAAGTTTGGATAAGAATGCTCCATGGTATTGGCATTTAAAATGGATTCTTTCATTCAATATCGACTTATTAAATTCTTCATATTGGGAATCATTTGCAACATCTTTAAGAATCATCGAGGAATTAACTTTAGTAGATTCTTATAATACAATTCTTGGTCCAGATAATGCAGTACTTGCATTGCAGGATGTAAGTATATGAAACACAGCATAGACTGTGATATAAACATATTGTTATATTATTATATTTACACATCTCATTAATTTATTTATATTACAGTTGTTCCAATACCTTGTGAAAAAATGTTATTTTGATAGTTTACGTAACATTTTAGATACCAAAATTCCAGAGGTATTTGATGATACGTGTACAGTAGTTCCACCCTTAGCCAAAAGTATATTAGAATTTGTAAGAAGGCCATTTTCAGTAAAATCTCGTACATTTTTAGATGAATACACGTAAGAAATTATTATTTATATGAATTGAGTGAAGTTTTTATGGTCAAAAAATAAACTATAATTTATAGTAGTATATAGTGCATTCAATTGTTATTTATTTTATGGTTCAGTCTGCAATGAAGTATAAATTATTCAATTACTATTATTTAACATGTTCACTGCGGATCATTTTTGTTTACTTATACTCTGATGTTTGTCAAAATTACATATTTTTTTTTATTCGTATTCCCCGTTCAAGTCTTATCATCAACCTAAAAAAACGAGGTGCAAATTACACAAATTTATACACTAAATAACACTAACTAAAGACAAAACAATTAAAATGAAATGCTGGCCAAATTAAAATCAATTAGAATAAAAATAATAGTATAAATGACACCCATGGGAAATTAATGAAATGACACCTTAAGACGTCATTCACTGTGAATTTTTAAAGCTTTAAATATATTGTCCATTTATAAATCATTGATTTGTATTATTTTTTCAGTTCAATAATTATGGACAACTTTGTACGGACTTTTTTGAAGGGACCAATAACTGATATTAATCGCAGATTTCTTCTACCAACTTTATCATCGGATCAACAAAATATTAATTATGTCGGACCGGATTTCAGGCAATTAGTTATTTCATTGTCACATTCTTCAGTTCAGTTTCAACCTAATATAAATTTATTTTATTCTTTATTAATCCTTGAACCCACTTTTGAACAATATTCATTTGGTAAATTTTACATTATTATATTCATTAAATAAGTCAATCAAATATATTTTATGAATTTATAAATTATTATTTTTAAATTATTTAAGTGATTAAATGCCATGAAACTGGACGAGAAGTCAATGCAATCAATGATTATTTGGATATTTTATCAATGTTAACAAGTATTTTAGTGGAACCACAAGTAGTTAAATATCTTAATAAAACATGGAAGTATGGAAGTGAAAATTATGATTCAGACAGTGAATCTGACGAGGAAGAAGATAAAGATAGAAAACTAATTGGTGGTTATTCAGACGATGAACTTGAGGCAATAATACTTATTAAATTAAAAAAAAAAAAAAAAAATACTTATATTAAATTTTTTATTAGACAGATTTTGAAATTATGTTCAGAGCGTTTAGGCGAATCATTTAGGGTACATAGAATAATAAGTTCCGTTGAAGAATCTTGTACTACTGAATCCATTAATTTTTTACTTGTACCTGTTTGCAAATTATGTCATTATTTGCTCATGTCTCATAAATTAGCTGTACATAAATACAGGTATTTATAACAAAACTGTATTTACAAATAACAAAATATATTCTGAATGGAGCAGATAGTCATTTTTTTTATATTAGTGTTTAACTTTCTTTCTGGGAAATAACTAAAAATTTAATATAGCTCCTGGATGACCTAGATTGATTGAGATTTAGATACAGATTAATTAAAATTGTGATTAATTATATATTTCGTTATTTGTCTTTATTTTATTAGATTCTAACCAGTAACCAGTATCTAGGAACTTGTTACACTAATCATTTTAATCTGTATTATATTTTTATTTTATTTTTTAGACTTTTATATACATTAGCACTGAAGGCTGAAGTTTTACAACATCTATGGAAAACTATATTAAAAACAGAACAGCAATCATTGTTTGGTCCTAGTCTAGTTACTACAAGCTTAGTAACAGTAATATCTAGAGGAGGGACTTTAGCCCCAAGTGATTTTGATCGTATAGTACCATTGTTGGCAACATTTTGTTCTTTATTTAGTTTATTAATATCAACTTTACATGACGCAGAATTTAATAAAGCTGTTGGAAATAATATTGGTAAATATGAAAATTGATTATTTATGTAAAGTTTAAAATTACAATTAATCCATAATAAAAAAATTTGATGGAAATTAAATTAAAATGTGCCAATAAGAAAAATAATTTTTCTATTAAACATATTTTTACAGTTTTACCCTATTTGTAACTATTACTTTATAATTATAAATTTAATTTGATTAAAATAATCAGTAAAAGTTTGTTTTGCAGTTTCAATCATAATATTGAAGCAGTCTATTAGATTAACTCACTTTTCACTATATTTATTACCACAATATTTTCATTTTATTTAAATTAATGTTTTATTTGAAAAGAAACTCATTGCAAATAAAATTGAAATTGAATTTTTAAATTTTTTTTTCATTATTTCTATTAGTTTTGGTGATTTATTTTTATGTTCCTAATTATATTTAAGTATCTTAAGTATTTAATGTTTATATTTGTATTTTATATTTTGTACCTACTTTTGATTTATTTATTAAATGGTGTATGCGCTATATTAATTATATATTATTTGCAATAATAATGATAAACCGTCTCATTTATATTAAAAATTTAATTTAGTTTAAGCTCTACCAATTTCAGTAATGAAATTTATTTTAAGACATTGTAGAAAATCATAGTTTTACTTTGGAATATTTACATTGTAAAAATATATTTTTTATATATATATTATACGGACAAAAGCCGTGAAATCGGGCGAATTTAAGAAATGCTCAGGCAAAACTCAAAGTGTCTATGACACTTGGGCAAGATATATTTCGGCTTTTGCCTGGACAAACATAGTATTGAACAAATCTGTACTGTAAATTTCAATTTTTCACAGTAGGTAGGTACCGTTTTAATAATATTACAATACTTGTTCTCCTTATTAGGAAATTGATCCTCGCACGGAAATATGTGGTTTTGTCATATAGTGACAATATAAGATAAACATTTGGGTAATATCGTAGCTAGTTTTATAGATTTATAAGATTATAATATTTTTTAGTATATTTATATATTTATGGACGTTACAGATTTGCTCGAATGAGGTTCGTCACAGCTAGGTTTGTCTGGACAAAAGCCAAAATATGACATTTTGCTCTTGTATCACAGACACTTCTCATTTTGCCAGAGCATTTTTGGGATTTGTCCGATTTCGGTTTTTTATTATGTCTATACGTGATTTTTTTAAAAATCTTGTGTATTTTCATTTCAACATTCCTATATTTATGTCATCACGTGATTGTGTGATTAGAATAATAATAATATTTTAAATTGTATACTTTTATGATTATTAATTATTTATGTTTCAACAATAAGAAATTTATATGAAGTTTTTAAATGGCGTATATCTAGTATTTACTATACAACTGTTGTATGAATTAAAATTGAAACTAAATTATCAGTTGCTAACACATGTCATTTAAAATATATTCTTATAATATTAAAAAATATTTTTTTAAATTACCTATATCTTTATTTTTAGAACAAAGTACAAACAATCCATTGAAGTTTACAGCAACAGATCTTATATCAATTACATCTATTTTGAAAGATGTAGCATTGGGGCTAATCGAATTGGCATATCCAGATTCAAGACCTATGATATTTCCTTACAACAGTAACATAAATCATAGTAATCAAACTGTAATCTGGTCTCATTTATTACGAGTAATATTTCTGTTTTTTATTTTAGAAGTTAAATCTTTTTGTTAAAAAAAATATTACGAACATCTATTATAAAATATTACAGGTTACAGTTAATTTACTACGGCAACTTCATTCTAGAGATTTGCGTTGTAAATTTTGTCCTGAAGGACATTGGGTGTCAAATCGTTTTTCTATGAATTCTACATTTGACAAGCCTTCAGATATGCATTTTGTGCAGTATACACGAAGATCTAGAATAAATTATAGACCATTCAGAGGTATTCCCGTGATATCAATGGACAACTTAGGTATTTTTTTTTTTATGTTTCTTTTAAGAACACGATTGCAAACATAATTTTATTTTAGATGAAGGTCCTCCTTTAACCACTCGCCAAGTTCGTATTTTGACTGTTTTGAAAGAAATACCATTTGTTTTACCATTTGAAGAACGAGTTGTAGTGTTTCAAGGTTTATTATTCAACAACAAAATAGAACATCAAAATACTGATTCTCTTTTTTTGGTTGGATCAAATATACATATTTCTATTCGACGCAATTATTTATATGAAGATGCGTTTGAAAAATTATCAATTGAAAATGGTAAATAGACTGTTATTTTTTCATTTCATTTTTTTAAATGTTACATGTTTAATTTATTCGTACAATTTATAGAACCTGAAATACGACAAACATTAAGAATACATATGAAAAGTGCTGCTGGATTAGATGAAGCTGGTGTAGATGGCGGAGGCTTATTACGAGAATTTCTATCTGAACTTCTTAAAACAGCATTTGATCCCAATCGTGGATATTTTAGTATGACAAATGATAATATGCTTTACCCTAATCCGTATGTTCAATTCGTTCAACATAATTTTGCTGCACATTATTTTTTTATTGGTAGAATGCTTGGAAAAGTAATTAAAGTTTAATTATCATTCATTTAACTGATTGTGCTTTTTTCATATTATTTAAATAATAATAAATTATAATTTTAGGCTCTCTATGAAAATTTATTGGTCGAGCTCCCTTTAGCAGAATTTTTTTTATCAAAAATCTTTGGACGACAAACAGAAGTAGATGTTCATCATTTAGCATCATTAGATCCTCTCATGTATAGGAATTTATTATCATTGAAAAATTATGATGGAGATGTTGTGGATCTTGGCTTAGATTTCACAATAGTTATCAATGAATTCGGACAAACTCGTGTGGAAGAATTAAAACCCAATGGTGCCAACATTACTGTTACAAACCAAAATCGAATAGAGTATATTCATTTGATGGCTGATTACAAGCTCAACACACAAATTAGAAAACAATGTTATTTCTTCAAAGAAGTAAGTATCAAAATAAATTATAAATATGTGGAGTGGCATAGATACTGTAGGCAAGGTGAGCAAACACCATGTGCCTACATCTAATGAGGGCCCTACCAAACTAGGGCCCAAGACATTATTGGACAGGTGAGGCCCTTTTGAAATGACTTTTTACTTATTACCCTTATTTAGGGACTTTTATATAATATTTTGCCATGACCCATGGGCATTAGAAATTCCTGTTACGCCACTGATCATGTGTATGATTTACATTTGTGATCACTAGATTTAAAATTTTAATGTAAAAATACACCCTTTTTATTAATTATTATTGAACTAAGATAATAGAAGGGAAATTATACATGTAATTTCAGTGATTTACATCAAAAAATTATTTAATAAATTGGTTTTTTTTTTGTAAAAAATTTACATATTTTGTAATATTTTCATTTTAGTTACATATTTAAGGAAATTTTTAAATTACTGATATATGTATTTAGTTTTGAAAACATCATTGACTAATACTAAATTTAATTGTTGTCTCTTATTAAAATAATAATTGTCTTTTGGTCATATCATAATTTTAATATGACAATGGTATAGTAAGTTATTGTAATTTGTATACTATTAATGGTTTTTCATATTATAGTAGTTCTTATTATTGATTGTTTTGTGTGAAGTATACTACAATATTTATTATTATTATTTTTAACATAAGTTTTAAAAATTTTCCTTATAAACATAATTTATAAGTGATTAATTATATCTACTTATATTTAAATGTTCTTAAAATCAACTCTTATAATCTGTTTTACAAAAAGTATGTTTAATATTTTAGTTCAATAGTACATGTTTTGATTTTTAATTTCATAAATACATACTTATAGTACAAATACATATAGTATGTAGCCAGGAATTTCTAAAGGGGAGGGGGTGTTATTAAAAAATACTAAATCTTTTTCATTATCTCTATTAGTTAAACACTTAAGAGGATGTGTTCCGTCATAAAAAATTAGCACTCTGCAGGAATAATTTTGTGCTATTAGTTTTAATATTAAAATAAATTAACCTGAAAGTTTCAATTCATTTTCAGGTTCATTATCAAACTAAAAGGTAAGAACATTATCTATACAATATTGTTATTATTTTTTTGACATTTAATTTTCAAACAAACATTTTCTTTAAGAATTATTAAATAATTGAATAATGAAATAACAAAGTTACTGTAGTATTTCACATATATACTCATATCGCGTTTGAAAATTTAAATATATCGAAAAAATAGCGCCAACATTGCCGAGATAATGTTCTTGTTTTTATGTTTGATTGTGATAATTATTTTATAATATTCTCTAATATTAAAATAAACAGCACAATATTGTCCCTGCTGAAAACAAATTTGCTATGTCTTGCGTTTGTAAGATAGAGACAATACCTACAGATCACGCATGTCAAAGTGAAATGGGTGTTGCTACACCCTCCCCCCCTCATTACACTATTGAAATACAATATAATTGTAGCCCCTGTTATCACATGGGAAATGTGTTGTAATAATAAAAGTATGTTACATTAAACTTATAATTTTATTACAGACAAACAGTATTATTCATTAAATACAAAATGTTACAATATAAAATATTACTAATATTGGTATTATGTGTCTAAGAAATATAGATTAATTGTATTTGTTTGTCTGTGTTATACTAGTTTTTCTCAAAAATAGTAATTTACTTGAAATAAGGTTCTTAATATTATTACTTAATTAAAAATTATTTTAATTTTCATAACTTACTAGGGTTTAGCAAATGTAATTTCCCTTGATTGGTTACGTATGTTCAGTAATCGTGAATTACAAGTTTTAATATCTGGTGCTGAAGTCCCAGTGGATTTAGAAGATTTAAAAAACCACACAAATTATGCTGGAGGATATTCAGCTGATGACCCATCCATAGATTTGTTCTGGACAGTTGTTAATGATTTTACTGATGAACAGAAAACTAAACTCCTTAAATTTGTTACAAGTTGTTCTCGTCCACCTCTTCTCGGTTTCAAGGTAAATTTATTATAAACACAATTCATTTATAATATTAAAATTTAATTTTGTTTCTAGGAATTATATCCACCATTTTGTATTCAAAAAGTAAGTTCTTCTGATCGGTTACCAACTGCAAGTACTTGTATGAATCTTTTAAAAATGCCTGTGTTCAAAGACTACGAAACACTAAAATCAAAGTTATTATATGCGATACAATCTGGTGCAGGATTTGAACTAAGTTAATATGATATTGTTCTATTTTTCTATTGTGGTATGTACTTGAAAACACAGACGATTTTTTTAATCTAATTAATAAATGTATTATTCAAATTATTTTTATTTTTTATTTTAATAGTTGATTTTCATATTGTATTACAGTAGTTAACTATAAATAATAAAGTAATAGTTTTGAATAAAAACTAAATAATAATTTCTTTAAATAAATAAATTGGCCATTTATTAAATCATTTTTATAAATTTGATTATAAAGGATTATAAAGGATACCACTGACACATCGGTTCCTAAACTGTGTGGTATGCTTCCCAAGGGAGGCATAACCACTTCATTATGGAAGTAGAAGCAGAGCAAATATTGTATATGATATATTATATTACTTTTGTAATCAAAATAATTTGTAGCATGGCTGTGGTGGAACTTTTTTCAATTTTAGTCAAAATAAAGTAAATGAATTGTGATTGAATTTGTTTTTTTTTTTTTTAACCATTTCTTAACTACCATTATTTTTTTTTAATATTATTCTTAGCTGTCATAAAAAAATATTCTATTTTTAGGGAGGCTAAAACAAAAAAAGTTTGAGGACCTTTGTGACTAACCAGTATTATCAGTAGTTTATCAAAAGTTTAGGTATTATAAATAATCAATTATAAATGGGGTTTCTAGTTCTTTTGAATGTAATTAAGTTATAATATTACGTACAGTTTTCAAATTAATATATTTGCAATTTGTTTGGTCTTTGGAAATTAATTTTGTCTTGAGAAACTAAATATATTACACACTAACCCCATCTTTGATATTAGAGATAATAAAATGCAAATAATAATATTAAAATATTTCATTACTAATTAAATATATATATTTGTTGTATGAGTATATTAAAATATAAAAAGCAGCAAGAAGTAAGAAAAATATATAAATATAATATAAAGTGTAAGAATGTACATTAAATTCATTCAAAATAAAAAAATAAAATATTATTCTTCAAATTGTGAAAAGTATGTTGTTTTTTTAAAACTAATATGAACGTTGACTTTTCTTATAAATGTTTTTAAATAATTAACTAACTACTGATAATACCTTGGTAAGTATTTCTTGTACTTTCTTTTACTTTATATTTTCTTTTCTTCTAGTGACTGGTTTTAATGTATAAAAAATATTTACAAAAAATTAAAATGTACAGAGTACAGAATATTTATAAATGTATTTATTTTAGGTTACAGAATATTCATACATTGTAATATTATAGAAAAATGTTTTATTGACATAGTACTTTTACTTGTTAGATAATACTCTATAAAATTAAATTATTAGTCAAATTAAATAGTAAATATCCAATTATAGATTCATTGTGGTTTATTTAATTTAAACCTCTGCTATGTGAAAATTACTCAATAGTTTCCATGATATTAATAATAGAATATTTGTACCATGAAAGTTTGTACGTTTTCCAACTGTTAATGATTTGCTGTTTAATTTGATATAATTTTAAATAGCATATGTTAATTTTCAATTATATTTACAAATAAAAATGAACACAAGTATTATTTTGTTTTATTAATTTTATTTTTAATTACACGGGCAATTGCCCTTTAGTATATATATATATACTTTGTACAAAATATAATAATATAATAATATATGTTATTTGGACAGTATAATAAAACATTAAGTTATCAAACAAAATTAACTTAGTTACCAAAGGTGGGGTCAACGTTGGTACTCGCCATTAGACGCCTAATAGGTTCGTTTTAAAGATTATACATAATATCTTAATTATATTTTAAGTTATACATTTAAAATTATATAGCTCAAGAAATATTTGATTATGTACATGTGAGCAAATAAATCCAAGAAAAAAAAATTATAACAATTTAAATATTTTATTTGACATACGAGAAGCCGTACTTCAATATTATTTTTTTACTACAGAAATGTCATTACTAGTTTAAACAAAAATGTAAACATTATTTAAATATTAAAATTATGTAAATTGATTTAATAATGTTGAACTACATAATTTAATATTATATTGATTATATTTGTTTTTATTTTGCATTAGTTAAATTTCAGAGTTTTTTTCAAGAAAAAATTTAAATCCAAGTATAGAACATTCAAATTCAATACTAGGGCTTACGATTTCCTACGGTTATTTAAAATACACGGTTGGACGTGTATTTAATAATGTCTTCGATTTTGACAAGAACTTTTATGCGATCACGTTCCAGTAACCTAAAATATTAATTTTCGAATTTAGTATAACATAATTTTAATCAAACAAAATCATATGTCCAGCCTATACAGTAAAAGTTAAAGTGAATAAAACTTTTTTTTAGAAATGACAATATTTTTTAAACTAAATATTGGAGTATAAAAAGTACCTAAATATATTATGGAATGTTTATGACTTATTAAATATCCGTGTACCTATTTAAGTACATGTGAAATCGTAAGCCTCACTCAATACTCAATCAATATTGAGCAAACCATAATATGACAGTAACAGTATAGTTATATAGGTATCATTAATTCCATCTTATTATGTTTGTATAGTTTTCATAAATTGTAGCATAAGTATTAATAATATCTTGAGCTTATATTTTGTAAAATCAAACAAAATCCTGTAATATTATAAAATTCGAAATTCAATTCTCAGATAATAAGACATTGCCACATTGGTCATTGATAATATTAGTATTTTATTAATACAAGTAGGTATACGTATTTGTTAAATAAAAATAATTATTTTATTATAGTATTTGAATGATTTCGGCCAACAATCGACAACACCACGTTTTGCATGTGTGCAGAGGACAATATTAGTTCATCAAGATAATAATAATATATTCTATCATTTAGAATGTGTTTTTATTAGCCTCTCGTGTCTAGACGGGCCGAGGGGAACTATTGTTGTGTAGTAGCAGCAGAAGCAGTTGTCCCGGTGACAAATATCCTTAACTCTCTGATGTCATGACTAACTGAATATAACGATTTACGAAGGGAACCGCACATTCCAGATGTTTAGAAGACATACATTTTTAATTGGCTGTTTCTATACCACCGTAGGCTGATCAGTAACTTTAAAAATTATTTATTTGAATTTAGATTAATATATTCTTGAGACGTACCACAACTATATTTTTTTATTGGAACGGGAACGGCACAAACTAATGTCCGAAATAATTTTTATTAAAATGTGGATTTCAATTGTTGTCAACTATATAACGAATCTTACTGTTTTTAATTTCAAAATTATTTTTGATATTATCATCTTTTCTATGGTCCTATATTTTTTTGTCATATGATAGGTATATCGATATTTTATCACACGATACCACATAGATGAATTTATTTGACTAAATTTTTGACCATGTTACCATAGAGTAATTAATTACTCTATGGTGGTTACATACATTATCCAATATTCGGGGAAAAGCGATAACAAAAAAAAATATGGTAAAATATTATCAGGGTACAATATTCATAACATTTGTATTTTCTATTACAACATATAGGATGTAGTTATTGCTGTCAAAATATGTTTGGAATTTTAATATTTGTAGCTGAAAAGTGGTACTCAAAATGCTGGTAAGGTGAAACTGAGGGAGGGGTGTAGGAGGCAAAGCCCCCCACGGGTTTGTATTAAGTGGTTGTGCACTTGGAACGCAGTTTTAAATCGTTGGATTAAGCTCCTCTATTTAATTTTTCCCGATTTGAGCACGGTTCATAGGTATATCATAATAATTAAATAATATATCTATTAGATAGGCATACTGCAGGAATGGCATTTGTATGCAAGTATCTTTTCGTGTGTGAGTGTGTACGCCTGGTGATCAACTATACTGAAAAAACGAAAAAAAAAAAAATAGTATCCACCTATAAACCTATATTAAAACCAAACCTTATTACAATTACTATAATGAAAAAAAAAAAAAGCGATTCTACCAAAAATGGCCGAGGGTGTCGAATTTCCGGGAACCCCCCGCTCGTCCGTTCTCTTGCCGTTCACTCATAAGCCGGACATGCGCGGCACGGGTCCTGCTTGACCTATATAAAATGCTGCGCTGTTGTAGAAGATTCGTAGCGCAAAATTATCGACTTGTCCCGAGTCCCGAGGCGCGAGTGCGATAATACGCGCACTACATGTATAAACATATACAGAGTGTATGGGTGTGGCAAAAGTTTGTTTACCGCGTTTTAGATTAATACACCTTATGCATGGGTCGTGGGTTTACGAAAAAGAATATTTATTTAACAATGCATTTCTTTGATTCTCAATGCAGGGTAGAAACTATTACCTATATTATAGTTTCACTCGATTAGTAAAACGGGTAAAGCTATTCCGGAACATTGACACGGTAGATAGCTTATTAAGAGTTCTGTCTGTCTAGCGGAACATTTGGCAAAAATAAGTATACGCACCTAAACAAATGAAAACTTTTTAAAACCGGTTTTAGTTATGAACCGCCAATAATAACATTTGCACATGGCATTATTTTGAAGATATCCTCATCGGCGTTTTTCGGAATATTAGTCATTAAAAAAGTTAGGTGGGTAGTTAATAACTGTAAAACGGTGAGGTTGTCTTCAAAATATTATTTAAAAATTGTATAGTGGGTGTTTTATTTCTAAAATCGATTATAAAGGTCTTTTCATTTATTTGCGTAAACACATTTTTGATGAATTTTATATGAAATATGATTCTTTCTATTTTTTGATTCTTAATAGTTTTTCCACAAAATATAAAAAACTGTAAAACACATCGTCAAAGGACATGTTTTCGATTTTCTTTAATTACACGAACTAAACAGAAATAATTAATAAAACTTAATAAGTTCTAATGTTATAAATTATAATCGTTATGGTTTATAGTTATCCTTTCAAGTAAATTAACTAAATTCCCTATAGGTGTCTATAATCATTATCTTATCAAAACCTTGATACGCTTTTTACGAACTTTTACCGCACTCTGTATATCTAATTTTCCTCGCCACCATAGCGAACAAACGAACCCGCCAAAAGGGGTGGTGGCGAGGGGGGTATGGGTGAAGAAGAGGGCTTGCCTTATGATAGACGAGCGGCGCGCGCCTCCGGGACCGACTACGACCGCAAAGGGGACGTCGAGATCGAATTCGTGTTATATTTATACACCTGGTTGTTACACAAACACAACATTTGTAACGATCCATTATACCGTACATGGGCGTGCGTAGACTTAAGTCGTTTTGTATAGTTGTCTCGAATAAAACACTCCCCAGCGAAAAGGTTGCGCGGTAAAGCAACGTTTTCTATAGGTACTCATGAGGCTTTAACCTCCTATGAGTCTTGCTCTCATAATTAACAAATGTCGAGAAAATATATTGTCTGACCGGGAAACACTATTTTAATTATCGATACGTCAATAAAAATAAGGGCAATATTTTTGTTTTATTTGTACGTGTGTATTTGTCTCTGTTCTGCAACCGTGCCTATACACACGGTTTAACATTTTTAGTAGGTATTTATATAATACAGGTACTTCTATTTTAGTAATTGTAATTCATAATAACTATAATATTATTTAATTCGATTTGTAGTGTAAAGAATAATATTTTATAAATTATGCATACGTATTCAACGATTTAAGCATTCCTAAACTAAACTAATAATAATAAATTATTCACACCTATACTTGTATATTATTATAATCCCTCCCGTAATTACGACGAAAATTTTAAAATTGGGCGTCACATTTTGCAGTAATTATTATAACTATTCTGCATTGTTATTAAATATAATATGATAGTGATATGTATAACGAGACCATAATTTTCTCCCCTTAGAGCGGGACGCTTGTACATTACGAAAAGAAGAGCACAATAGAATTATGCGATACGAATGCATAGAAAAACAGTAAAAATTATGTGAAATAGAGTTATTCCAATAAATTATTGAAAAATAAATGCAATAATGGGTTTAATACATTTGATTGGTTTACATTTTTTGGGTTTATTAAAAATTAGTAAATGAAACTAATTTCTTGTGCAGACTGATAAGCAGCTGATTTCTATATTTTTCGGATGAGCAGATACGTGGCGAGTAGTTATTGTATTTGACTGTCGAATCATAAAACACAGGCAAACACCTACACAGTATCCAACATTTTTATAATTTTTCATATTTTGATATTAATTCTTATTCAAATTAATCTGCATAGATTTTTTTAATATTACACACTTTTAGTTGAAATATTTGTATTACCTCTGGGTTTAGAATTAATCTTTGAAATTACAATAAACGACCCGCATTAGACAAATTACTAAAATGGCTTTACTGTAAAATGTTAGTAACTGTGTTTTATGTGTTAACAGTCATATTTTTTTGTGCTGCGATTAATAAACACATTTCTTTTTTCGATAAAATCAATTTCCACAGTCATCTTCTTTTCAAAGCGGGACATTTTTTCATTTTTTAGGGGACAATGGGATACATAGCTCAAAAGTGGGACATATAGTCACGTTAGGTATGCAAGGGGAAATAGTCTATTGCTCCCCCTCCAAGGATTTTCAACTGTATATACTTTTGTAACGCATAGTGGCATACCATTTTACCCTAACAATACAACATATTTCTAGAATATGCCCCGGGTGGGATTTTATCTTACAGGTGCGCTTGTAGGTATGTAGGTACCTACAAAATGAAAAAAAAATATTCAATAATCATACAACCGTCCCACATTAAGACGTGTTGTCGTTATACACACCCAGACAACGGTAAAATATTTGTCTTTTCTTACAAACTACGTGACAAACTCACTATACAATACCTACCACCTGCACGTACCCAATAGAATACCAGGTCCCTTTTCCCGCGTTGTCGTCTTTGTGCGATTACACTATAATGACCTTGAGATAACAAAAAATCGACGACTTTCGATACGTCATAGACCTAATATCGA